GTCAGAGAGCATGGATTCTAGAGCCAGACCCTCTGGGTGCAAAGGCTGCCTGAGGTTTGCTAGCTGCCTGACTTAAGAAGACAAGTTATGACCACCTTCCCATCCCCAGTTTCCTCCATAAAATGAAGTAAACACAGTGCTGAACTAGTTTTCCAACCTTGTGGCTTTAACCAATACCCACTGATTAGCTCCCCGAGCTACAGGTCAGAAATCGAGCTCAGCGCGACGGAGTTCCCTGCACAGGCTGTACAAGGGTGAAGTTAAGTCATCAGCTAGGCAGAGTTCTTGCCTGGAGATTCTGGGGAAGGATCTGCTTCCATGCTCACTCTTGCTGTTGGCAGCATTCATTTCTTGTGGCTGTAGGACTGAGGTCCCTGTTTCCTGGCTGGCTGTCGACTGGGGTCCATCTTAGACCCTGAGGGTCACTCATCTCTCCTGCCACATGGCCCCTCCATCTCTGAGTCAGCAATGGGACATCCAACCCTTGTCATATGCAGAGTCTCTGACCTCCTCTTCTTTGACCAGCTAGAGAAAACTCTGCTTTTAAAGGGCTCATGTGATTAGGTCCGGCATACCTGGGTCATCTCCCTATCCCAAGGTCAACTGGTCTGGGACTTCAGTTACATCTGTAAATTCCCTTTACTGCAGTACCTAGATGAGCACTGGATTGGATAATGAGGTGTGTGTACACCCAGGGCCTGGCCTCTAGGGAGCGCATCTTGGAATCCTGCACCTACTTCTCAGGAAATTGTGAGGCCTGAGTTAGCAAGTGTACATCAAGTACCTGGCACCTACCGAGCATGTCTCAGGTAGGAGGATTTGCATGCAAAGAACTACCAAGTGGAGTTCCCAGAGGGATGAGAATTTGGTTGGGGTAAAAGGGGGCTGTCAGCGGTTGGGACCAGTGGAACAGCTGGTGAGCATCTTCCAGTTCTTGGCCGACGGGCTTCCTTCTGATGCAGCTGGAGACTGGAAGTGCCGTCCTCCTTGGATGGATGCTGGTACCCTCCCTGGTTTAGGTCTTTGCCGAGCTGACTGCAATGAGAACTGAGCTTTGAAATGAGGGAGCAGGAACCTGGAAACGGCCTCTGGATGAGCTCTCTCTGAAACCATCTGCTTGGAGCTTTTGGCTCTGAGAAGAATGGAGAGGTTTCCTCCAGCTACAAATCCAGGGATTCAGAAACCACTAAAATCACAGCTTTTCCCAACCGGCCAAGCAAGGCTCTAATTGGGAGAAAAGAGAAATGGAAGTCCAGATCCCCACTCCTTCTGCTAGCCACACACAGGTGGTGGCTGAGGCCCCTCTTCAAATCCCAGAAGGCTCGTTTCCTTTCTCAGCCTGGCATCACTGGCAGAAGAATCGAACAAGGGGTCCAGGTCCTGCTGACTCTGGGTGAATGTCAAATGGCCGGCACCCCTGAGTGAGACCCCGGGCTTTTATCTGCTCTGTGAGCTGAACTGCCTGTTCTCAATAACTCTGCGCTCCAAACGATCTCGGGCCAGCATGAGATAAGGTGGAAAGAGATAAAAAGGAGGGGATGAGAACAAAGAGATTTTATTTTCTATTCCCCGGATGCCACGGTGAGAAGAAGCTTTTTCTCCAGCAATTCCTAGACCAGACCACGCTCATGCCCAGCTGAATTCTTGCCCGTCTCTCTGGCATCACCACCCCCCCCCGCCGCCGGCCCCGCCACCTGCTGCCGCTCTCCTACAACTGCTTCGGCTTCTGGATCTTCTCATAGCTTCTCCGGGAAAAACCGGAGCCAATTTACTTCCCTCAAACAGCTGTCATTCTTGCAAAGCTGTCTCTTTGCTGTGATTTTCAAAGGGAGACTCAGGGCCAGGCTTTCTTCAGCGAAGGCAAGCAGTGGAGGTGTGAAGGCGGAAGACAGGGGCATCCGATGGAGGGAAAGACACAGGTACACACACGTGTTTGAGAAATGCTGACTCGGTAAGTGCAGGAAAATATAACCTTCTTGATACCTGAGGATGAGGTCGAGAAAGAAAAGCAGAGAGTGGCAAACTTGCATCTGTGCTGTAGCTGCCGGAGTTCTTACACCAGGCAGGCATGACCCTGTCTGACCTTGACTGTCAGACCAGAGGGTTACAGAGGAACCGACCAAAGATATGAGGGCAAACGGCCAAGCCAAGCTGACCGGCTCTGACATGTCAAAGGACAGATGCTGTCTGGCTCGGGCAGCTGCTGGGCGGGGAAGGAACCCAGAGCTCAGCCTCTAAGATGTAAGGGCAGCAACAGCATGAACCTGGGCTCCAGGTGAGCGCTGCCCTCCACCACCGCTTTGAAAGGAAAAGGCTTCATCTGGCTTGTTGGTTTAAGGTCTGAAATAGTGACGACCCCACTTCCCGGGCTCCCTGTGTGCTCTCTTCTCTAGTCAAGAGAGGTGCCGAACGTGCTGGACCGCTCGCTGATCAGCGGCCGATGGCGCGACAGAGACATTTTCCCCGACTGCATCTTTAACTTGGATTGCACTTAGTTACATCGCGAGGGGGAAAAGAGAGGAAGGGAGGGAAGAGCAGCTCGTTGAGGAGGTCTGCACAAAGCTTCGTGACAGCACGAGGATAGCACACCCTACCCAGCGTGTCAACCACATGTTGACACCCCGTGAACAAATACCGATCGAGAACCTGAAACGTTCAAAACAGTGTATCAGCTCCATCTGCCACTGGAATCAAAAAGAGACGTGCTGCGGAGGAAAAGGCGGGCCGTGTCCTAACTCCTATCGGTGACGAGCTCAAGTTATAGAAAGATACGTTCTGACTTCATACCAGTACTTATCAGTGTGGTGGTTTAAAATAAAAAAATCATTCACTCAGACTAACGGGCTCCTCTGGGCCACTGGGGAGGAAATGCTGATTTGGCTAGTTTATTACCTGCGCCTCTCCCAGTGAGGCAGATTGGTTTACTGCTACAATTATTCTGGATAGCAGTTAATGATGCTAAGTAATTACTGGTAGGGTGGCATCCACATATGTCTAGAAAGGCCTGGCTTTTCAATACTGGCTGGGTTGTGGCTGCAAACAAGGGGGGCTTGTCTGTGCAAGAGGGAAACAATTGGCAAGGTCACTCCCTGTTGTTTTTTTTTTCCTTTTTTTCCCTTTCCTTTGTTCGTTCTGATTGTCTGCACTGAAATCTGGAGCGTTGGTTGGCCCTGCACATCGCAGCAGGTACTTTTTATGTGTCCTCACATGGTCAGGGCGCTGTCTCACTTAAGGTAATGAGTGACTATCTCTCACAATAGAACTTTGAGTGCAATTCCAATGCACCCTGGCTAATGAGTCTTCCACATTCCATTTTTAGCCCTGGTATATACACGTATTAAAATCCTTGCCTTGACATTTACACTGCAGTTTGGGTGAAGGTTCTCTGCCTCTGGGGTCCGGTTTCAACACTTGTAAGTGCAGCTCCCCTCCTGTTATAGCCCACAAACCTCACTTGAGATCTCAAGTATTAAAAGGTAGTGATGAGTAGGTATCACAACTGTCACGTTGAACCAACCACACGAAACTGCTCTGTTAGCGCCGAATACAGCAAGGTCACCAGTCCCCATCAAACCTCCATTAAATGCCCAAGATCACTCCTGGTCAGTAAATGTGTTTTTCTGACATGTAATGGCACAGAAATCAAGCTCAAAACTCTGTAGGACAGATGGGTGAGAACGACTTTCGCTTTTCTTCCAAAATATTCCCTTCAACTCTCCGTAAGGACAAAAGTAACGTTAAGGCCACAGAAACGTGAGTTAAGTGACTATTGATCGACATTGACAAAAGCAAGCAACTTCTCCCACGGTCCCTCCTCAAATCCTCCATGGATGTGGGGATAATTTTCCAAGGGCAAAACTTCTAGCTCACTGGTCTGCACGTTATTGACGAAATAAAGGTAATATCGAAAATGACAGTGCCTGAGAAGCAATCTCAAACTGCCTTTTTATTGCGTCCAATCAGCAAGAGAATCGAGAACCACTTTCTTTTTAATACAAAATCATCAGCCAGTTGCAACTGAAACGCACCACAGTGACTTCAGCCGGTAACTCTCATTTTTTTTTCTTTTTGCTTTCTGAAGGCCCCCTCCACCCCTGGTCAGTCTCAGCACTACAGAGTAACGAGCAGTAAAACTGGGCTAGCGCTGACCTTCCATAGACGTTTATGTCTACCCATCCTCCAGAGGGGCTATAAAGCCAGCAAAGACATCTCATCTGGAAATCTCTTGTATTAAGAAAAGTGATGGGTGCGGTCCGAAAGTGGACTGAGTGATCTGTAGACCAGTGTGTACTTCAAAACAGAGTCCTAACTCCTATGAAGGCCTTCTGTCATCAGCTGGGGACCTCAGAACTGACCATTCCAGCTTCTCCAAAGGACCCTCCCACCCTATCCTTTCACACACACACAAAATCCTTCTTAATATTAGCCTACATATGTTTGGCATTTTTTTCCCTCTATATTTTGCCTTGGATTTAAACAAAATTCCCAGGTAGATTTTTATCTTCCCCGTGCCCAAATCCCCACGATAATAAAACCGCCTGCAGGTCGTAACTCTCACGGGACAAGCCACTTTGTAAATTGCACAGCGTGGCGACCATTTCAGGAAACTGACCACTGACTTTCTGCCCGGCTGACCTCTCGTGATCTCTGACCCCGGGCAGAGGAATAAGCAAAGGGGAAGAGCCGGGTGGCGGGTGTAGCCTCGGTTTGTGGAAGGCGCCCAGGTCTAGAGGTAGGTGCCGGGTTCGAAGCAGCTCTCTCTCGAGTTGCTCTGCTGGGGAACCTCATTCTGGAAAACCGAAGTCCGGCAGCGGCTTTCCACATCAGGGCCAGGAGAAAGAGGGGGGAGATGGCCCGGGGAACAGAAGGGGCTCAGGATGGACCCCCAGGGGCTCGCGGGGAGAGGAGCTGGGAGCACCTCCTGCTGGCGCTGCTGCCCAGAAGCTCTTCCTTGCGCGGAGATCGGCTCGGGGGCCGAGCGCCGGGGCGCGGGGTCTCACCTGTTCCAGCGGGCCACCTTCCTCCGGTAATAGCGCAGCGCCTCGGGGCCGGCCAGGAGCGAGTCCTCGGGCCCCAGCAGCGGCGGCTTCTCCGGCTCGTTGTACAGCGGGTGCGCGAAGAGGGCCCGCAGCTTGGAGCCGGGGCCGCCGCCGTCCGGCTCGGCCGGGGGAACGTGGCGCGCGGCCGGCCGAGGGGCCGAGGTGGCGGCGCGGTGGGCGCACGGGCAGCCGGGCGGGCGCTCCCGGGGCCGCAGCCGGCGCCGTACCCGGGGCCCGAGGTGGAAGTAGAGATCGGCGGCCAGCAGCACGCCCAGCAGCAGCAGGGTCCGCAGGCGGTCCCGGCGCAGCCCCGGCATGGCCCCGCCGCGGGGTGGTGGTGTTGGGGCGAGGCGCCGGAGCCCCGGGACGGGGCGCTGCCCGCGCGGAGAGCCCCCTCCGAGGGCGGTGGCCCTTGAACTCGGGGCCGGGGCGCCGAACGCGCGGGGGCTGGCGGCGTGGAAGGGCGTCCCCTCTCTGCGCGGAGCGGTCCCCGAGAGCCGCTGTCTCCCGGGCCCCTGTTTCTCGCACCTTCTCTGCCCCGCGCCCGGCAGCCCGGGAGTCCGCGGCAGGTGGAGGCTCGGGGCGCGGGGACGGGCGGCGCTCGCCTCTCGGAGGAGGGGGAGGGCGGCTGCGGAGCCAGCGGCGTCTCTCCGGAGGATGCGGCCGCTCGGGCTCCTCCTGCGGGCGGCGGGGACGCCCGTGCCCCCGGCTCCGCGGGCCGAGCTGGTGTGCGCGCCCGGCCCCCGGAGGAGGGTGACGCCGGGTCGCCCCCGCCCACTCCCGCTGGCACCTGCCTCCGGCGCCGCCCGCCAGCCAACTCCGAGCCCTCTTCCGGCCCTGCCGGTCCACCTGGTCACCCGCCCCGCCGCGCGCGCGCCTTCCGCCCTCGCCCGGGACCCCCGCTTGCCCTGCCCGGGGCTCAGGCTGGGCGCTTGGTGCGGGGAAGGTGGGGCTCCCGCGGTGTGCGCGCGAGACCTTCGATTTTCATGTTGATTTCCTAGAAAACAAGACAGCTCCCGGAAAGCCTTTCTCCTCTAAGATTTGCCAGGTGTATGTGTGCGCGCGCGCGCGTGTGTGGTCTTTTCTCTCTTTGCATCTTCCCGCAGAGCACCCACTTGATCCATAAGGACTGCGTGTCGTGTGCATGTGCTTGGCACGTACTGGGCGCTCGGGAAACAGCCGCTTAGCCAAGGAAAAAGTTTGACCTTTAAAAAAAAGGCATCGGTTCCACCTAGCATCTTGGCGACTTCCTGTTTGGAGGGAGTTTGGTGCCAACTGCGCCTGCACTGTACCGAGAGGAAATCTGTCTTGCAGCGAAGGAGGGGGGCGTCCACCTCCGCCCGCATGACCCCACTCCGAACTTTTGCGGTGAGCTGGGTGTGAAGGCGGGTCCGCCCACATGATTCAGGCTTTCTCCCGATATCCTGTGAGGTCACTTCTACTTCCCCACTCCATTTTCCCGTTGAGGAAGAGGGAGAGGCAGTTGCCTGGCCCTGAACTCCGGGCTCCTCTGTTTAATGACCTGGTGGGATGGCGAAGTGCTCACCGAAACCCCCCGCCTGCTGGGTGTGGAGCGAAAGGCATCTTCGCCTGAGCGAGCTGCCCGCCCAGGCAGCAGCGGTTCCCTCCCGCGTCTGGGGACCCCGGTCTTTAACCCCGTCCTTCCCTGCTGGAGTCAAGAACCCTCAGACACACTTGGACTTGTGGGTTCAGACCAGAGTTCTTGCTCCTGTGGTTCGGCGGGAGATCCTTGTGGCCTTTGCCATCCCCATCATTTGTAAGGGAACATGGTAATAGAACTTACCCCACAGGGTTATTGTGTGGCGTGAGCCACTTAAAACCTGTAACTTGCTTTGAATAGCACGTGGTACGTGTGAAAGATGTGTTTGCCAGAAATATGATTACTTCTTGGTTCTTGTTGTACACCGGGACAGGTTCGAGACGGTGAGTGGGACAAAAATAGAAAAGTACTGAAAAGGAAGATGCCAAAAAGGGACGACTGTCAGCAACACAACGTAGTGGCCTGAAATGCCTAGTCCAAGTGAGCAGTGCCGAGGTGATACTATTGCCAGCTGCTCCTCTCAGCTGGGTACGCTGGCAGGATTTTTAGGGGTTTTTTTTTGAACCACCTTCTTCTTTTTCTCTGCAGTTCATTTCGAACTGGTCTCCAGTTTCTAAGAAACTTTGCAGCTCCGGATGTGTCTGATTAGGCATCCATGCTAGAGGGTGAAGAAGTTAGGCGTGGGGCAGTGTTGCATCTGTAATAACTAGGCTGCGTGTCTGGGCTGGCAGAGGACGTGGCCACGAAGCCATCACACGTCTTATGACTTCACTTCTTGCGCACCCGCGGGGTCCTGCTCGCTCAGTAGAATCTTTTGTATGAGCTCGATTCAGGAAACAGTATTCCTGACTCAAGTAGGGACCATCGCAGCGTGTTTTCCCTGCCCTACAAAGGTCAAGGGCAAAAGGGCGTGTGGAAGGCAGATAGGAAGTGTGAATAAGGTTGGGGTGGGAGAGTGGAAACCCTACAGGCAGAGTTGACCAGGCAGAGGTCACTGTCCTCAGGGTTTGTCTAAATCTCTCCTTCTTTCTCCCAGAAATGAGCCTTTCCCTTGGGCTCCTGCTCTGACTCTCCACATTTTGGGCCCTGGCTTCCTCCCCAGCCTCATCTGTGTCCCTCATGTTGAGTTTAGTGGTTTATTTGCTTTATGGTTTGAATTTTGTACCCCCCCCCCCAATTTATATGTTTAAATCCTAACTCTTAATACCTCAGAGGTGACCTTATTTGGAAGTAGGGCCGATGCAGATGCTATTAGTTAAGAGGAGGTCACACTGGAGTAGAGTGTATGACTGGTGTCCTTATAAAAAGGGGGACTTTGGACACAGAGGCGTATGCACATAAGGAGAATTCCACGTGAGGATGAAGTTAGAGATCAGGGTGCTGCTTCCACAAACCAGGGAAGGCCAAGGATGGCTAGCAAACCACCAGCAGTTAGGGAAGGGGCATGGAGCAGATCTGCCTTCCTAGCCCTCAGGGGAGACCAACCCTGCCAGTTCCTTGATCTGAGACTCTGGCCTCCAGAACTGTGAGGCAGTATACTTCTGTTGTCTCAGCCACCCAGCTTGTGGCCCTTAGTTACAGCAGCCCTTGCAGTCGAATCCAGTGCACATCTGCATTCCTCGCTGGAGCCTGACCTCCTGAAGTGTAGACGGAGGCTGGTACCTAAGGACTGGGGGCTCTGAGGACAGGGCTTATCACTTGGGAAATGCTTGAGAAGTTTTTGCAGAAGGAATGAAGGGAAGTCATTGGAGGCAGGGATCTCAGGCTATACCTCTGCAGCTGTAGCCTCTCACACAGAGCCTGGTGTCCCGGAGGCGCTGAACTATTGGTTACAATAAAGTAACAACTTGGGACCCTGTAGGAGATGAAGAAGAAATACAAGACATGGTTCCTCCCTTGAAGCATCTCTTATGGTTATTAGAGAAACCAGATCTGCCTGTATCCAGGAGACAATGAAGACAGAGGTCCCTGAGCAGGCTAGGGATCTGAGCCACGGCAGAAATTAGGAGGAGGAAACGCAAAGGGCACTTGTGTTTCCTTTCAGTCTAGCTAAATATCAAGCCCTCTATTTCCAGGAATTAAATCATGAAAACAACAGTCAACATTTAAACACAAGAGCTCTTCAATCTGTGACGGTTGCACTAATTTCTGTTGTACACATGTTCATATGTTACTTAAAACACGACTAGTTGTTTCTTGTTTGTGTGGTTGGTTTTCTACACGAGGCGCTAACTCCACGAGCACGGGGCCGACGTGTTCCCCCTCCTTTTCCTGCTTTCATAGGAACTCTTACATCGAAGGCATGGAGCTGAAATTAGCAAACACCTGTGGAATAAATGATACCTGTATATGTGGGTCCGTGTGTGCTCAGGTATCTGGGACGTGGTTTGAAAAAGAGTATTTAAAAAATCTGGACTTTTGGGACTTCCCCGGCGGTCCAGTGGGTAAGACTCCACGCTTCCACTGCAGGGGGCACAGGTTGGATCCCTGGTCGGGGAACTAAGATCCCGTATGCCATGCAGCGCGTCCAAAATAAAAATAAAATTTAAAAAATCAGGACTTTTAAGATCTGACACCAGAATATGTTAAATATTATATTTAGTTAGAATATCTAAACCTTAGGAATCCTGATGGACCTATTGAAAGAGCAATAGGTAAGAGACATAGAATGAAATAACTTTGCTAACTGCAGACATCTGTGTCCCTAAGAGATTTTGTTACTGTACAGATGTGTATGAGGAAAACGTTACCTTTACCTGCTGTCTCAGAAACCAGTGAGAGAGGAGAGAAGCAATTAGACTACTGTCAATGGCAGATCCAGAACGGAGCGGGATTCAGAAAACTGATACTGATTTGGTGTTGGACTCAGTCTTCTCTTATTCTGAGCTAGAAAGTCCAGAGTTTTCTGTTCATGACCAAAACATAATGCCTCAACACAGGCCAGAGATTTCTCAAAGTGCAGCCTGTGGATTTGAATTACCTGGAGTGTTTGTAAAAAGGTAAATCCCAGGGTCATTCCCTAGATCTAGTGAATCGGGGTCTTTGGAAGTGGGACCAGGAATGTGCAGTTTCAATAAGCTGATTCTTACCAGCTCATACGGTTCTGCACACACTGAGGTCCAATTCTGATACACGCTGAAGTTTGGGAATCATTGGTTGAGAGGATAGTGCTAATGAGAGCAGAGTTATAGATTTGATTCCAAACGGTCCAGCTGGGATGCATTGCCCAGGGCTGGCGTTCTGACTTGTGTCATAAAGTTGAGAGAGAGAGAGAGAGAGTAGGGGTATAAGTTAGTTTGGTCCAGCGCAATCCATCCCCACTACTAGGGAACACAAATAAACAAGGAGCCCCAGTGCCTGCTCTCTAAAAGTGTGATCTTGCTCTAAAAAGTCACGGCTTTGCTGCATTACCTTCCCTGGGCCTCGGTTTCCCCATCTGAAACACGAAGCACAGATATGAGTCGTCTCTGAGGTCCTTCTCAGTTCTAAAAAATGATAATTGTACAGTTTTTTCTTGTACTAGTATGCAATAATCCAGCTCTTTTTGCACAACTTTATTTCCAGTGTAAAGTAAATAATTGAGGCAACGTAAGAGCACTGAGCTGGGAGTCAGGAAGCAGGAACCTCGATCCTGGCTCAGGCGATAAGCAGCTCGGTGACACGGGGGCAAATCATCTGATGCCTCTGGGCTTCATTTTCCTCATATGTAAAATGAGCACTTTAAGTTAGACAATTTCAAAATCCCCTCTTAGAATT